CGTAATTTCATTTGATATCATATTTGAGACTTTGTGCCTTCTTGGAGAGCCCAAGAAGGGTGAGGTCTGTCGTGGGCTGTCGGAGAGTTTCCAGTAGCCTTATGAGTAGTCTCCCTCAAGAAGACTGTGGCTCACTAACATTTAAAAAAATTTCGGGCGATCTGTCCCCACCCAATCATGCTTGCAACTTTGAAAAGAAATCACAGTCGGTTTGCTGCCATAACACCTGAGAAAAGTGCAAGAACTGAGGAACTGCCAGTTTATCTAAGCTCATACAATCGAGATGCAAAGGTTGGGTCCGAACCGTCGAGCCTTCGGTCAGCAATTTTGCCACATTAACATAACCATTTCAAGCTTGCCAATGCTCATATCGAGTAAGAATATCAATAAATTGCACTTTATCGGCGTGCATGAATAAAGCGAATCGATTTATAGGCCCACGATTCTGGCACGATTTGACGAGGCTGACATCGTACATCTACTAAATCTGGCTTCGAACTGGTATGCGTCTGACGGTAGTCAGTCAAATGGAACCCTCGGTGATCGGAAAGGTTGGAGAGGAACTGACCTTTCTGAAGGTGCCGCTGGCAAACGTCACGTGTGTATTTTTGAATTCAAATGTTTCCACAGGTGGAGTTGTGGGAAGCTGGATTCATTCACAAAATACAAATGCAAATCAAAAGTACCAAAGTAAGATCTGCTTTGTGTAGTTTCGAAACCAAGTTTACATGATAATCAAACCAGCGCTCCCCAAATCCACGGGAATGGTGCCATCTAGGCGTGGAGGGACATTTTCTGTGTAGTCACCTGGTACATTTCCCCGAGCTTGAAACAGTGCCACGACGAAGGCTGTACAGCCTCCGTGAATTGCGGTTCTCCCATATCCAACCCTCGTTGTAGACTTCCAAATGAGCTGAGAGAAGTTGTCTATAGGAGGGAAATTGCAAGAATTGGATGAGAAATATGGTCATGTTTGAATCATCTCAATTGAATTGCTTAAATACCTGACAACATATCAACTACAGCACTTGGGTCGGACTCCTGATGGTCAGACGAATCCTCATGATTCGTGACCGTCTTTGAGGATGTTTCGTGGGAACAGTAACCCCAAGATTTGTCTCCGAAATTTGTTGTGTCTCACATTCACAGAATCAAGAGGCATTTGTGCAAACGTGTGTCTGCAATTTGCGGACAGGTGCCCACCTGAGATGACTCAACAACTGGTGGTGTTCGCCTCACAATTCACTTGAAGTTTCTACACTTTCTAGCATGGGAGTACTAACCAGTCGTGCGTTTGACCCTGTGTTGCTGTGATTAGAACGTCAACTTGTATATGAGAATTTATGGCATGACTGATTGGGACGTTTCCGCTTGTGGGAGAAGCGGCACCCTCAGACCCTGTTGCCTAGTTACGAGGATCAATGTTGACTTGATCAGGAAGTTGTCCATTTGTCAAGATTTATTTTGTTAATGAGGCTCATCTCAGTCCTCAATCACAGCCGTGAGACTATCAGAGACGGATCGATCACAAGGCGCCATCTGACCTGCACCCGACCGGTTTTCTAAATTTTGATTGGTCAAAAGTGAGTGCGTGAATTGTCTGAAATTCCCTTCATCCAAGATCGAGTCCAACCGCATATCAGTGCCAAACACGGGTATACAGTTCTCATGGATGCGTCATCACTGACCGAAAATCCGGGAATATTCTGATCCCAAACAGACTTAGTTGTTAAGGACCGCCCGTATGCAACCAGGCTAGGTCGTCGCGATCAGCCGCGTTCACCTTGATGTGATCGCGGCTGCTAGGCCGTGTGCGAGAGTTGGAAAGTCCAAGCTGGTTTAGCGTGCAAAATTCTTCAATAGGTTCGGCAGTGTCCATTCTACATATCAGTTGATCTGGTCAGCTAACAATCCCGATGAACAGAAAGAGTCGTTGGTATCAATTTCATGCGTTCCCGTTGATCCAGGATACCGAATCTCATCTTCTCTATGCTGAGTGTGGACGCAGGGCCGACGGTACAGACTGCACCCGTCCTTGAACAACGACTCATGGCATCTGGACGAGTTCAGATATGAAGTAGAATTCGCAGGTGATTAGGAGCCCATGCGACCTTCTATTGGCGGACTTCCCAATGATTTCTGGGCTTGTTCGAGATTTCCACCCAGTCTGTCTCGTTGTGGCGATTATCCTTTCCAAGTTAAGTAGTGTAGCTAGTGTATTCCGGCCTGAAACGCTGTTCAAATGCTTTACGGTGAATACGGTCACTGGCGGATTTAGTCTGAAGCTGGTTAGGAACCAGCCAGGATGTCCGCTTCTACTATCGCCAAGAGTGGCGAATTTGTAGAAGATTGTTTTGCTAGATGTTATTGATACTACCGCAGAAAGTTTGTCTCGCTACTATTCAAGAGAACGGACTTTAGTCGAAACAAGTGCAATGATGCGACCACCTAGTTTCGAAAACATGTTCAGATACGGAATGTGACCGAGGTTATACGGATATTCAACCTCCCTTCCTTAGACCCATCGATCTATATCTCGACTTAGGTTCTGCGTGCAGACGGCGTCAGCTACTCATGTACTTTCTTGGGTCAAGACGATTATTCATCGCTCATGCGACCATAGACGAAATCAGTAATACCCACTGTTGTTAATCAGCACAATTCCAGGAATTTAGTACCACCAATTTTCAATTTGACAACTCACTACTCACTGACGATATTACCTTGGTTGGTGGTCAAACGTTTGCAACCATATTGCCCAATTCAGTGAAGAGAACAATGATCACCGTTATCAGCCTGTTTATGATAGAGCTGACGGGAGACCAGTGGTTGCTTATAACCCGTTCACCCGTTCTCCCCAGCTTAAAGACAAAACCGCGATTGCGCAAAAGTGGAGAGGACAGACATGATTTTGTGGACCAAAGTTGACGTGGCTGAGGAGATTTAGTTAAGGTCACAAGGTGATGACTATTCACTTTGTAAAACAGTCTGGTCCAGCTGGAAATTTAAATGAACTAGAAGAGCAATGGAAATCTAAATATCGATTAAGGCGTCGGGCAAGTGTGAACATGTTCGTTTATTCAGACGTGGTAATTCAGGTGTATCCAGCGTGCATTCGAACCCGCACACACCGCCAAGGATGTGTACTACTCATGAGCTCTAATAAGTGTGAAACTCGAGTCCAGTGCATCTCACCTTATTTGCTGTGCACCCACAAGTAACACCACAGCAGCAGACATGAAGGTCTAATCGATCGGCGGCATGATGGAAACACGAATCTATTAGGTCTGTTCAACTTAGCAGTTAACTTCCTGCCTGTTTTCTATGAAGACATCAGATATGATCTCCACCTGGTGACGAATTATACCAAAGTTAACGACGGCTTCACATTCCAGCTCATTGGGGAGTATTCACGTGAACTGAAGCTGTAAGTCATGAGAACCGCACTTCTAAGTTTTCGAAAGTTCATGTGACGCCTTCAACCGACTTGGTTCACTCCGCTGATATGATGGATGAGCGAAATAGGTTGAACGTTCTATTGGCAGTTCTCGACACGCTTTCATACAACGAAAAATTCCGCAGTTTAGAGGAACCCATTTCAATTTACGCTCTGCGTTGCACTAAGCATCCATTCCACAGCAGACGCGTACGAAAGACGGTAACAATAGACAGAGAATCTACAATAATTCAACCATTGATGAGTTCAGGAGGTTCGGAAGTTCACTGCGAGGATGTTAACAGTGAGAAGATCCAGGACCAATGTGGTGATCTGCCATATACAGCCCGGCTCCTTCGTAGCTTACACAGTCATTGTGTTAGTTGATTAACTGCGAGCAAGTCCTGAACTCAGAATCCTGCCGAGGATGTCTCTGTCGTGGATGGAAAAAATCACTAGCATGTCAAAGGCCACTAGCTATGAAAACATGTTATAAATTGATATCCACTCCATCCAAGGAGCTTAACACTACAATCGCCAGTTGTTTCCGCGATGCGCAACTATGTCTGTCGATCGCTGATGTTGGACATCATCAAAAAGGCAGGCATATTTTTGAAACTGATTCACTTCGTCTCCTGAGAAAGTGGTTCCAGTACAATGGATTGTTTTGCAGTAACTTCACTGCATTTCCGCACATAAAAGAACTGTTGTTTGTATGTACGTACGTACGATAAGACCTGCGGTATTCAGAACTTTTGTTTGCCCTTTATTAGACTCTTGTAAGGAATTCTGAGGAGAAATTACCACGTGGCTGTGAAGCCTCTGCTCACCCTTTAACGTCTGATCACATTGAGCTGAGTGGTTTGGAAAACGAAGAACCCGATTCACCAGATGACATCAAAGCATCAAAAGTGCGCGACTGCAATTTGAAAACAATGGGGTTGGCTAATTTAATGACTTACGAGAGTTGGGTTGCTTTTCGGCGCCAAACATATGTGACCTGATTTCACTGTACCACTCGTTAACTATTCGTTCGGCTGAAAAGTCGAAAATAACGATTGGTAAGGCTTACTGTCTCACGATACAAATATCATGGCAGAAGAGGACCTCTCTGAGAATAATGCCTCTACATTAAAGAAAAGCTTTGAGTTCAAGAACACTGTCGCGGTCTGATTTTACGGTCCAAGCTTGTCCGCAAGTAATCTGGGCTCACAAAAGCTGACGCGTGTAACCAGGAGGATATTGATGATTTGAGGACATTAGAGAGATTTTACAGAGGTTTTGCCCTAAAAGCGAATCCAGTCTATGCTAAAAAGCCGAGAAGCACTGAAGATCTATTTCATCTTTATTTGGAATCTTCACCTGTGCTCATTTTACGGAACTCCATCAAGGAGAAGCGAACCTGGTGAATATCGGATAGTAGTATATACGCTTTACCGTTCGGCCACCGGCGGCTGACAAGCACTGTGACTGACTCACACTTTGATTATTTAGTCACTCATCCTTTAAGTACAGGATCTACATCACGATGTTCGGCTTGTTGACTAGTCCATCAAATAGCGCCTTTATTAAAAATCGCCACATCTCGCACTACTAACATCCCATGAGTAGTTCAGAAAAAATACAAATTCATCTGTGTAGCAGGCCATCAACAGGAGTGACTATCAGAGGACATGCGGTTAAACGGCAGGGTGTGCAGGCTAGCTAGGATGGTATTGTAAAGAGGGAGGGTTCTGAAATTCATAAAACACTGACTGGAAGGTAATGATCACTGTGCCGAAAAAGTTGCCATTGGGGAAACGAGATCGAGAAAAGCAAAGGGGAATAAAAGTAGTTGATTAAAGTGGATGGCGTTCAACAAACTTGATGTACGGGATAGTGGCAATCTGGGACATTTGTCTCGACTTGCCGAAATAGCCCTCCAGTCAAGTTTCTTTCGCTTGTGAAGTTCTATTCATTACTTTTTAAAAAAATTACTATCTAACGACGTAACCTAGCTGTCTGCTTTAAGAATATGGGGTAACTAATAACGAATGTCACGTGAAGCAATCGTGGCTACTGTGTTTGAAGAAATACCTGACGAGATAGTGCCTACCGGTGGACGGAGTAAATCGGTGGATGTATCGGACGCTTCGGATAGCTAATCTTAACCGAAATAGAGTGTGTTATTAGTTCCCTCTGGGTTGAAAAATGCATGTCATTCCTTGCTGTCTTGCAGGTCACGTTTCCGATCAACAACCAAAGCTTGTACCTATTATTCGTCGTGATCAGCTTCAACGATCAACGTCGGTGTCAGACAAGTCAACCGCAGCGTGGCCATACATGATGGTCGGTACATCCAGAGTGTACCAGTGTGGAAGGGCCGACAAGCTCGACTTCAGTGCGCAGTGTCCGAGGTTTGTAGCATCGCAGAGCAGAAGAAGAGGTGCACTGTTCATGAGTTCTGGCGAGACCTTGACTCGAATTCAGTTCTCATTTTTCGGTGTGCACCAAGGAGAATAATGATGCCTGCAGAAGGTGTTACTTGTCACTTTCAACAAGCACCGCAAGATTCCCTTGCACAACGTCAGTGATTCGAACTCCACCCAGGATCGCGACCGTTTCTGTCTAGATTTGGACAATCTGGCCGTATCCCCGCCTACGTGTTTCCTTCGAGTGATACGCACACGACTGATAGTCACCGATAATGGGCCACAGCTGAAGTATTAGTAGAACTATTATAATTTTTATTGTATATTTGAGTGACAAACCATATTCCACATCTGATGCTGTAGCTTCAGTGCGGGAAGCTCACAGCTTGGTTCCTGATCAGCATGTTCAATTATTAAGGCTTTTCAAGAAATATCTGGACCGAAAGTGGACCGCAGGGCACGTCATACGGAATTGTTTATGCTCGGTGGAACACCGTGGTTTGAGGTGGCAGTTTCAAGAAGAGTCTGGTAAACAGCCAATGGAGTTTTGTGAATAAGACCACCCATAGGTTTTCGAAAAAAAATTCTCGACAGCCTAATACCCTTCAATCTCACGCTCTTAGTAAACCAAGTACTCTCTTTGGATACCAGTATACTGTCCTAAAGGAAACGGCTCACAAGTTACTGATGACTCATTGTGTCCGGAGGCCAGCCGTCTCTAATAACCGAACATCACATCATTTGGACCGATATGTCACGTGCAGGACACAGACCAAACGAAGGCATGCCTTGATTGGCCAGAACATCAGCCAATCCGGATCGGGCATCTTTGACTCGACGCTCCTCGCCCCCTCACGGAGATTCTAGCATGACCTTGTGGAACCCTCTGTGACCACGGTATAAATACAGTGGTAATACTTTTCCTTTGTCTCCATAAAGGGCTGTGTAGAGCTGCCGTGCCTTTTTATATACCGTAGTGGGCGGAGCAGGAAGCCAAGGGACCGAAACAGAGTTGCACCGTTCAGGAAGACACAACACATTGACAGCCCACGAACGGCTTTACTTCCCTTCAAGCTCATCAAGTAGACGCAGTATCCGAACTACCGTAAAACTAACTAAACACAACCAGGACAAATCATGCTCTCCAAGGTGAATCACGTCTTATCAGAAACACGAGGCTCAGCTGCGATTCATCTGAGTATTCCGCTACTATCAACTGAAGTTGCAGATGAGTACTAGTTGCGTACAATTTGGCATTTTAGTCAAACATTAAGTTGACACAAACTAGGGGACCAAACCTACCTAATTATCTACGAATAGAGTGAAAACGTTCACTGTCAATTTTTCAGCCTACTCATGACTAGTGTGTTCCTTCTTCCAAGTTAGCTAGGTCGACTGAGGTGCTCGAAATGCACAATCGCACTAAGTTTAGACATAACTGCGAAAAAGGACGGTCAGTGATAAACCACAAAGTGTCAAACGAGACCCAAGGTCATCATAGGATATGTTCTAACTGGAAAAATGACTTTCACAACGTTCTTCAGAATACCGGGATAAGACTTACCACTCACACTCGGACGTCCAATATTCAGGTAGAAATTCTCACCGACTGTAGGATCACCGAATGTGGTTATTGTTTGTGACAGTGCCATTCGATTCGCAAGAGTCTGTGCCTTTTGAACTAGCAGTGGATCAACACGCACTGGTGGACATCCGTGCAGTTTTCGAAGCCTGATGTAGTGAAAATATTTAGCAGTGCATTTCATTCGCTGGGGCTCTGATAGCCCAATAAAAGGAGTACACGAAAGAGAGATGAGAACACTGAACACTAGATTAGCATAACTTCTGTAGCTATACCATGACTGTACTGTGAATATGCTACTCCGTACCATACGATACTGTATTAAACTATGCTAAAGCACGCCACACCATACTGTACTACACTCATCGCACTATACTATACCGTAATATAATGAACTATATATATAATGAACTACTGTAGTATAGTATAGTTACCATACCGGAGAACTATACTTACTTTACTATACCGTACTATACAATGCTATGCCATACTACAGGATACCATCTTATACTTACTGTACCACACTTTATTACACTACAGTATGCTACAATCTACTCTATTGTTGTTGATCCTTTTCTCCTGTACAGTTTGATTCTCCATTTTGTTCTTTGCGTTTTTGGGGTTCCTTTCTTGTTGTGATCCTTGTCCTTTTAAGCACACGTCTAATTCGAATCAGTCTTGTAGGATTCACTAGCCCGTGGCCAGTTTGTTTTGATTTGGTGTGAACTTTGGGTAGGTGTACTGCTTTCTTCCTAACTATTTGTGCACGATGGCATTTCCCAACCAGGTGTACAGAAGCCGGCGTAATCTCACGATTTGGGGTTGTTGTATCCCCCTTTTTTACTAATCTCCACCTTCGGTAACGATCTGAGGTTTGTACGTATTAGTACTTTATTACTGTATTCATAGTGTCGCATTTGTTCATAAGCCTCCATTTGAACGGTCCGACCTTTAGAATTTTGCGCGTAATTCAATGTGGCCCACCTGATTGCCGGAAACAATAAAAAACTGAACTGTACTATACCGTACTGTGCCGTGTGATATGATACTACAGTATACCATATTAAATTGCACTATATTGTATCATACCACGCCATGCCATACCATGCTGTGCTGTACTATGCCATATTGTAATATGCAGGTGAGATGGTTCAGTGGTTAGAGCGCCAATTCACTGACCGGAAGGTCCGTGGTTCGAACCCGACCTTTGCCACTCGACTTCCCCTGTCTAGGCTTCGTCAACCTGGAAGTATCCCTGACGTTGTGCTTCCTTCGGTTGGCATGGCAGCTAGGCACCGAGGGGGCATCACAGCTGGACGACTTTCTATACTGTCATTATCACCATCACCAACGACAGCATATCATCAGTCTTCAACGCCGATGCTTCATTGCCGTACTTTTTACACTGTAATATGCTACACTATACAATACTGTACTATACTTCACTGTACGATAACATACTATATTACGATGCGCTATGCTATACTATACTACACTATACCGTACTATACCATACTAATCTTACTGTACTGTACTATATTATGATACACTATACTATGCTATACCATACTATACTGTACTACTACTAAACTTTACTATACTATACTGTACTATACTATAATCTGCCACACTATACTATGCTGTACGCTATACGCTTTACAGTCCTATACCATGACATACTATAGAATATTATGCAACAGCATACTATACTGCACCAAGCTACGCTTCACTATGCCACACTGTGCCACACAATGTTGTACCGTACTCACTATACTACGATTGTACTCTATGGTAAATTTACGACTTATCCCTGAGGAGTGTCGAAGCTATCCCCATCATATTAAGGTTTTTGCTATTCCAGACACTAGTAAACAGGTCCGCAGCTGATCTCTTTCGTTCATGAAGATCAATGCGTGTTTGCTTTGACCAAGAAGCCTGACCTTGAACTGTCATCATCACCTGCAGCAACCCAAGCATTACCTGCAGCAACCCAAGATGACAGCACTGGTGCTTCACAGACAAGTTACCATGTCACTATATTTGAATAAATCAAGGAGGTAAATGGGGCAGGAAGAGAGAAGTACGGTTAGCCTAAAAAGACCATCCGAGATGTCTAAACCTTTCTAGATTCAGTCACACAATTTGGATACGAATGGGCACTATCAAGGCCACTGTCATCGGTCAGCCATTTAACTCAGTGTTTCCAGCCAGGCACAGAGAGGGTCACGTTGATCTCATCCTGGAAGGTGGATAGTACCAACAATACTCTAAGTTTACGTAATACTCTTCATTCCCTTCCGTTGGGTTGAATTCTATCCACCTGCAGTTTTCCGTCACTCTGAATCAGGTGCGGAAATTCACCCTGGTCTTGGTTAGCGTAGGTAACTCAGCATGCGTTACACGTAGTCTTGTCAAATTAAATTACAATGCTGTATGCGTTCCTTGCGTGCAGTACTGGCCGCTTCATCCAAAACCCGTATTCTGATTACCTTATTGCGAATTCGCTTGTTCTAACTGCAGACTGCAGATATGTCTGTGGAAAATCGGTTTTCAGAGACCTGGAGATATCTCATAAACCTGGCCGCTACGCGCCAAGGACGCCAGAAGACTTTCAGTGTTTGACCAACGATGTCTTCGGAGCATTGCCAGAATCTGGTGGGAACACCGGATCAGCAACTCTGAAGTACGTCGAATGGTATTCGGGAGAAATAACTCACCCTCGATAGATGAACAGATCACACTGCACAGGTTGCGTTGGCTTGGCCACGTGCTGCATATGTCAGTCGACCGACTTCCTCGAAGAGTTCTTTTCAAACAACCACGTGAAGGGTGGAAGAGAGCCAGAGGCGGTCAAACAATGACTTGGCAGCGAAGTATGAAAGCCATTACCAGCAAACTCAGGTGCACTGGTCACTGCCGTCTTCCTGGATGGGGACCCCAAGACCAGCCACATCAATGGTTGGGAACATTGTCAGATATGACCCAGTCGCGCCCTCAATGGCGCTCATGCATCCAGGCTATTGCCTCCAATGCATAGTTCCCTTCCCACTCCCCGAATTAAAAGTCTACCTACAATGCTGTACTTACGCACTAATTTATCAGCTCCCGCCACCCCACCTTCCCAAATCATCGGTGGACGAAACAGTGGCAGCTACAACCACTGTACGACAAGTACGCGGTTATTACAACTGACAATGAATGACTGATGGACCAATCACATTTGGACGTTCAAACAAGCATTCAAAGAACGGCGAACAATGCTGTTTGTAATCTAAGAAATAAGCGTTAATAAAATGAGATTTCCTGAATGCTAAAACAGTTGTTTTTGATCGATTTCCAGGACCGTAACGAAGATGACAGCGTCATTGCTCCCGACATCCGCCATATTGTTCGGTGTCTCCGGCCAAAAAGGGTCATTTGGAACTGTCAGGACGCGCCCAGACTTGAAAAAAGCACATGGTCGCCATCGATAACACACGTCCCGGATAGCAGGTGCGTTGGCGGAGCTCACCAAACACGGCTTAGCGACATACGAGTCAACACACGAGAGTCAACTAGTTCCGTGACATTGTTTTCAATCAATACTTACGGCCTACAAGGCCACATAACAAGGTAGATCATCAGATGATTTGGGTGGATTCACTCGTGGGTCGCTCGTGAGAAACCGAGCTAATAGTTATCCGCACTTGGCGTGATTGTAACCTACTGCATAATCAGATCAGAAACAAGAAGGAAACTTGTCCAGACTGCAAGAGGTTACTAATTGGTCTTGCAGCAAATCCTTACGTCAAGATGCCGCTGCCCCTTAGGATTGAAGAGGGTGGAAGGAGATAAGGTACTTTTGAGTCGTTCGTTCAGGTAAACGCTGCCTTGGAAGTGCATTAGGTTATTTTCGTAAAGAAAACCACCAAAACTTAGGGGCTGCGCATGCCTGATGAGCCGTAAGAAGGGCGAGACCGGTCATGGGCTGTCGAAGAGTTTTCAGCAACCTTGTGCGTAGTTTCATTTATGAAGATATACTGCGATGTCTCGAATGTCGTGCCAACTGAATCATGAGGCGGCCTGTGTGCAGCACATTCAGTTATGGAATAGCATAAACGAGAGGTCCAGTTGATTCTCTCGTGGAAACCAAATTGATTTGCAAATGCGTGTACTTCTTTCCAACTCTGGAATGTACAGAGCCATGACCAGAACATAGGCATAGAACCAACTTTTCGTATCCTGACATTTCAGTCCACGGATGTTTGAGTCCATGAACTTTGCAACCAATCAAATTCCTACCCCATACATTGGCCAATCACTGTCGTTGCGGACATGAACGCGTTAATTGGTGGTACAAACTCACTCGTTCACACAGCCCAACAGTAAACAAAACATTATTGTGCACACGCAAACACATGCACTTTGTTTTAAACGGACATTTTTCACGGATTATTAAATCAAATCGAATCTCCTCCGTGGCGCGCGCAACCTTTCCCATGATCTTGCAATCTTACCGAAGAACGATCAATTTGGATGACCAAGTGATTTACTTAAAGGATCAAAGGCTTCGTGGTCATTGTTGTGATGACACGTATTGGGATATAAGTCTACCGCTTTGGTCAGCGTGCCATCTGGAGTTTCAACCCATATGGTTAAAACTTTGTTAAGAAGAACTACAACGACTGAAATTTTTTCGCAAGCTCCTGTGTAGTCACCACAAACATTCCTCAAAATGAAGTGGAAACCCAAACTGGGGACTGACAACATCTCGTATGGCAATCAACAAACTTTCAAGCGAGCCGATTAACTGACACCTAACCAACAGACGGTGACTTTGGTTTCAACACTAGGCAGAGATTGATCGAAAAGACACGTCAGCTGTTCAATTTCATTTCATCAGCATTCAAACGTCGTATGTGCTGATCGGCTTCACCTTTAGAAACGACTGATTACACGAAGAACGCACCCTCTGCTTGTGCAGACCTCTTACACAAAGAGGCGGTTTCTGGAATAGTGTTTTTCCGCTTTATGCGGTCCAAGAACAGAAGTAGCTGGAGGCGATGCCATCCGGATCCACACTAACAACCGCAGTCGTATGACCCGACGACCGCTGGTGAAAACAAGGGCGATAGGTCGCTGGTTTTAGCTAGTTGCCAAACCAATGCTAACGTCCAAATATTGATCGGACTGAACCACACAAGACGTCGGTGGATTCACTATGTTGAACTCTATATGAATCCCACAGTTAGAAATGAACGAAGAGTAGTTTTTCGGATATATAAACTATTAACTATTTTCCCGATTGCTCGTCAAGCTACCAAAGTCTAAAACAATTGCAGCTGAGAGCAGGCCAATCACGGTGTCCGAAGGAGACTGCCAGGTTTACAGGGTGTCTCTTTAATGAACCAAGAAAGAAACCGAAAAGTTGTATGCATGCTTTCGGCGTGGAGCCGCTATACGTCTTCAGGGTAATACGCATTTCACGTAAACCTGACCAGGAGCGACCTAAGGTAAAGATTGATTCGAGAACACGGAGCACTCGTTTGGCACTTAAGTTCTTGAACCCTTTGTCGTTTCGGGCTCAAACGTGTAGAGGTGATTTTTTTCCTCTATTGAACTGACTAACCAATCACTGATACTAGCTCGAAAAACAAACTGGTGAAACAAAGAGAAACCGGTATTGTTGGTTCGCCGTGACGATCGTAATACTGTTTTCTTTTCAAGGCCAGAAGTTCAGATTACACAGCATGCACGATGAGATCGGCCTATTCAACACACCATTCCCTTCAACACATAGCTCCATTCCCAATCCCCCCTAATTACCAGTCCACTAACACCAATTTATCAGCTCCGCCTTCAATGCACAGCTGCCTCCCCTACCTTCCCAAACCATTGATGGACGAAGATGGGGCGGCTACAACCGCAGCACGACAAGCGCGCTGTTCTTAAAGTTGATGATGATGATGATGATGATGGTGATGATGATGATGATGGTGATGATGATTATTCGGATGATGATGATGATGACAATGATGATGATGATAAGACTGACATCAAACGTCTGATTCTACTCAACCTTCGTAAACTGCCAGTATCAACATGGCTTATCCAAATTTCGATTTTTCTTGTTTCAAGCCTACAAAATCATTCCTATTCGACTAAAGTTCTCGCATAACTTGACTTGTTCATCACTTATACTCCCTGCATGAGAGAGAAACCACTCATGATATATTCCAGACTAAGAAGCCACTGGATAATTTTCTCACAATTTGACAGCTGTCGTTAGCGTCAATGACCTCAGGGAGTGAGCAACCAATCGAGAATTTTACCTACAACCTACCCCTGCCCCTAGGTAATATTTCGAGATGGATAAAGTTGGATGGACGTCAGCCGATCAAAAGAAAACATTGTCGACTGCCTCATATCACTCACTGGACTAGCTAAATCGCTCCCAGGTGACTCTCTTAAAACAGAAACAAAGAAAATTCTCTAGAAAGACCGTCAGTTTTTTGACTCACCGATTCTGCTCCTGTACACATAACTCATTAAAACGCAGGTCCATTATTACATGGAAAATTAGGCCGACAATGTGGGGAAAACTACTCGTCCCAGAACAGGTGGGTGGACATTTGTTTTTCGTTGTATTTGGTGTCTATTAGGTAGCCCCCAAGTCATCCATAGAGTCGGAGTGAACAGTCATCTACTCGTGGGTAGCAGTGAATATGGATCGATATGCTGGTTTGAAATAGTCAGCTGGTCACGTGAACAACTTGCTGTTCTTGCTGTTCGCCAATTGAAGCCTGGGCATCAAATATATAGAACATTTTGTGTTCGTATTTGCATAGAATGATCTCTCACATCGAGCCTTACACACTTGGCTTGGCAGTAAGCACATTTTAGCCCCAAATAAGGGCAAATCCTATGTTCATAATGCACTACTCATAAGGTTGCTGAAAATTCGTCGACACCCAACGACCGGTCTCGCCCTCTTAAGGATCATCAGGTAGGCACAATCCTCGAGTTTCCATCAACCTTATGTGCTAATTGAAACCAAATTTCACGAAATTAGCAAATATACACTCATTCGCAAACAAATTTGGTTTTGCGAGAGACTCACCTGGAACCCAACTGAATCTTTCGTTTTTGACGTTTCCAGGCAATGTTCCAGGTGAGTCTCTCGCAGAACCGAATTTTTTTGCAAATGAGATTATATTCGCTGAGTTCGTGCAATTTGGTTTCAAGTAGAACATAAGGCTGTCGGAAACTCGGGGACTACGCCTACCTGATAAGCCCGAAGTGGAAGGGCGTAACCGGTCGTGGGCTGTCGAGGAGTTTTCAGCAACCTTATGAGTAGTGCACTACAAATCGGAAGGAATTTCTGTGCAAACTAATGACAGCCCGACTGACCAGTGAATTTTTGATATGTGGTTGATGTGACCAGACCAACGTCCAGCTCAAACTGTTCATCCACCGGGTTAATCAGAGATACCGAATGACAGCCAAATTTCTGATGCATACTTTTCGCGCTGTCGACCGCGCAATTTGGAATGATGTTCAAATCTATTGTCAGTGTCATTCTGTTTTCTGCTGGATCACAGACTGTATAGGCCTCTACGGGAATACTGGTGGATCAACGTTCTGACCGGCCCGTAGGTGAATAACTCGTGGAGACCACGTTACGGTGAGTGTTCGTCTAATGAGAAGAGTCAGAATGGTCCACCGCTCCTGGTGCAGTGGATCCAAGACATTTCACGAGGGTACTAAACATTGCTCAAAATCAATCCAGCTCCATAAGAAAACTTGGAGAAGATGACGCCATGTTTGATGTCTTTACTAAAACCCAGAATTCCATTGAGCCAGAATAAGTTTTCTGCGATCTGATTAAACCAGTGTCTTGGTACGGAATTTTGGCTTCCTTCTTCTGATATGAACGCTGAATTCATGTTTTTTGCAAAATTCCTTGCACATTCACAGGAGCACTGAGTTTGTTGCTTTGTAAATTAGCGAATGCATAGTGTTATCTATAATATTGTATAGAATATTTTGTTTCCGTAGCTTAAAAGATTTCTATTGACTCCCTTATGCAGCCAGATTAGGGATGAATCAGTGTCTATCGTCATGCATTTTGGCTTTTTCATCAATAAATAACTCTTTACCTCTGTTTAAAACTGACCAGACATACCTGGATTACAATTAAGGATGTCGTAAAAATGGAAGTCCTCAATAAACGTAATACACTACTCATAGGGTTGCTGAGAATTCTTTGACAGCCCACGATCGTTTTGCCCTTCTTTGGCCTCATCTATCAGGCGCAGTATCCAAGCTCCCGCCAAACGTAGGTTCTACCTGAGACCAAATTGCACGAAATTAGCGAAATGCACTCATTTGCGAACAACTTTGGTTTTGGAGGAACTCACCAGGGACCAGCTGAATCTATCACCTAAAAACATCGTAAACAAGAGATTCGGTTAAGTTTCAGGTGAGTCTCTCGCAAAACCAAATTTGTTTGCAANTGAGACCAAATTGCACGAAATTAGCGAAATGCACTCATTTGCGAACTACTTTGGTTTTGGAGGGACTCACCAGGAACTAGCTGTATCTATCACCTAAAAACATCGTAAACAAGAGATTCGGTTGAGTTTCAGGTGAGTCTCTCGCAAAACCAAATTTGTTTGCAAATAAGTGTATTTCGTTGAGAATTCCTCAAGTTTTGAGGCGCACTTTCAAAGCCCTACTGAATGTCATCGAAATATAACGTAGCTACTTGCGAGATTTAAGTAGGCAAATAAATGGCGTAAAATCGATCCATCTTTGGACAGCGTGACCCACTTAGCGAGGGCGCATACATCGAAATATGCAAACGGCTAAACGCATCCTCTTTGAATGTTTGCCTCGAATGTACAGTAGTTTCAGAGGGGCTGTTTTTGACTATCACCAGTAGCCTTTCAGATCGGGACCCCGCTCCGTATTGGTTGTGGTCCACTTGCAACAACTCTCGGTACTTTGCATGAAAGAATGAGCACTCAATTTGTGGGTGGTTGCGGAATCTGTAGAATTTGCGTCCTCTGTCGTTTGGACAGTCCTCCGCCTTTCGTATTGACCCAATTATTCTGATGAGACCACACTAAAAGCTAAGAGTTGCACCGGACTCTAGTTTCGTTCCAATTAGAGCCCATCACCAGCGGACAGCAGTGGCCTCGAAGGGTCACCATGCTGACCTCCAATTATTCTGATGAGGCCACACTAAAAGCTAAGAGTTGTACCGGACTCTAGTTTCGTTCCAATTGGAGCCAATCACCAGCGGACACCAGTGGCCTCGAAGGGTCACCATGCTGACCCTATAAGCCCTGGGTCAGAAGAGCTAATGAAAGGCACAGTCGGTCGACATCGTGGCCTCTTCAACAGCAAACAACGGGTGACGGTGTAGACACTCGTATTGAATCGACGTTTTGCCAGATTAGTCGAAACCAAACTGACTGAATCCGGTCAGTTCAATACCTGTGATTTTTTTTACCTGTTCTCACTCAGACATCAGTCAAATTACTTGCGTATAGTCCAATTTATGAGTGGCCAGGTTATGCTGAAAAACACGCAAAAATATTTGCACTGCTAAATCTGCACAATTATACCAGTTCCGACTTTCTGTTGCGCAAAACTTTTACCATATTTTTTTAAATTTTCGACGCCCCATCTTTGTCTTCTAATCAAGTGGGTAGATGAGCGTGGGTTCTATTGAAACGATCTTCAAAAAATATGTGACTTGAATTTATTCGCAAAGACATAGTCTCTAACAATTTTACGGGCATTTCGAAGGCATTCCCCGCGAGCTTAACTCCGAAGTGACCAGCGGAACACTAGGGGAACGTGGATACCAGTCCGCCATCGATGGCGGTAGCCGAGTGTGCAATCTAATTGATTCAGCGCAACAAAACACCCGATCCCGATGGGCCGCTTCCTGCACTTTTTGAAGAAGGTGGTGTGTCTCTTGTGGCTATCCGGATGACTTTACTCTAACGTCTTTTCAGTGAAGAAAGAATACCGACAGAATGGAGCTCCTCGACGGTACTTCGCAACGAGATCACGTGAAAACCACCTCAGTCTAGTAATGGCAGCTTTCAAGGTGGTATCTGGTATTTTCGTACGAAGGTTGATCCAATGTTGGGCATAAATCCTATCTTCAGTTTCCAACAAGTACTCGTCATCAACATCATCACTGTCATCTGTAAGAACCGCGTACTTGTCGTACAGTGGTTGTAGCTGCCACACTTTCGTTCACCCGATAATTAGGGGAGTTGGGGTAGAGAGCTGTGCATTGTAGGCGGGAGCTGATAAATTAGTGCGTAAATACGGCACTGCTAGTGGACTTTTAAGTGGGAGGATTGTGAAGGGAGCTATGCATTGAAGTCAGTATCTTGAACGCGACTGGGCTGGAAATGCGTAGTTCCTTCTAACTGTCAAAAAAATCACCGTTCTCTATTTATAACCTGCTTTTGACTCCGCCAGTTGTCAGAAACTGTGGTGGTGTCTGACGATGACGTTAACTTCTCTCCCAAGTTATCCACATCGAGATGTCCGTTGCCACCTTTCCTCTCCCAATTCGCGATTGATATGTTGCTTGTAACTTAGTTAACTGCCTGCAACACCTCTGGAATCAAAGTATTACTGGGACGTTCTTTAGTTAGAGTCGTGTTCGCTGTGAACACAGTCAGGGGTGGTCTTGTGTAGCGCTTAACTCCTGTCATTGTCTTCTCCTCGGCGAATGAAACTGTGGCAGCCGAAACAACTTCCCTGCGATGCATGGCTTGTGAGCCGAAAAACGAAAATGAACTGAACTCAACTGAAGTGACCTGACCTGAGAGGATCTGACATGACCTAGCTTGACACGACCTGGCCTGACCTGACACAAGCCGATCTGACCGGACCCGATCTGACTTGACCTCACCTGACCTGGTTTGACCTGAACTGAACTGAACTGAACTGAACTGAAATGAACTGAACTGAACTGAACTGAACCAAAAACGTATTGGCTGACGCAGTCTACCACTTGAAAGAACTACTGGGACTGAACTAGCTTTTATAATATATTTTATAACTGAACTGAACTGAACTGAACTGAACTGAACTGAACTGAACTGAACTGAACTGAACTGAACTGAACTGAACTGAACTGAACTGAACTGAACTGAACTGAACTGAACTGAACTGAACTGAACTGAACTGAACTGAACTGAACTGAACTGAACTGAACTGAACTGAACTGAACTGAACTGAACTGAACTGAACTGAACTGAACTGAACTGAACTGAACTGAACTGAACTGAACTGAACTGAACTGAACTGAACTGAACTGAACTGAACTGAACTGAACTGAATCCAACTGAAATGAACTCGACTTAACTGAAGGTCTCTTCTCTCATAGGTCCAACTTGCAATGCAAAATTGACGAGTCTAGGACGACTAACACTCGTATTCATTCGGGTATTTGAACTTCCGAATTCAAGAAAAATAGGATTCAACATTCCAGTTTAATCCACCGAGCTGAATCTCGGATTAGGATCAGTTCAATTACCCGGTCGTCTACCGTTTTATGTTTAAGCAGGATAGGTGGCTGATAGAAACTCAGGGACTGCGCCTACACGAATAACCTTAAGAGAATAAAACATCGGTCGGTTTTCAGCAACTTTATGAGTAGTATGTTCCCGTCAAATAAATCCCAATTGGGTTCGGTCATCTCTCAACTAAATGGTGCTGACAATCTTTAGGGAAAACGCTTGTTCACCGAGGACCATTAAAACACGCCGAAATTCACAGATGGAACATATCTACAGAGAACGTATTGTATTTTAAGTCGTAATGTATACCAGTGAGACTGCAGTTCACGCACGCTTGGTTCGGTTCCGTAGAAATCGCAAGCAAACAGTCACAGTGGCAGCCCGTGGGTTATTTCCGATCTCACTTGAAAAATACAGAAAAACCTGCAAGTTCCGATCACCAGTTTTGGGAATATAACCTCCAGGTTTGTCTCCGACGTAAATTGTTCCTCAAAGATGCGGAAGTAAGCGACTTCAAACGTTGGCGGACAGAAGTGTTGAGAAGAAACTCAGAGGTTTTACAGAGATTTCTCTTCAGCTGTCTCAGCCTTGTAACACAGGTATTCAGCGGAGTCACCAGGTGTTACCAATTTTTACCCTTTGAGAAGAATGTTTTAAAAACAGCAAAACAAGATGGCGTCATCGATACTCCCCTCCGAATACTTTCAAGATTTCTTATCGCTACATCTTACTTCCAGTTGATTTATAAGCTGCGTTCTAGCAGCTTTTAGAGTCCAGCGCAAAACAAGTGAAATTGAGGAGTTTGACTTTGTTTTTGAGACAAGCTTTCCAAGTTTAAATCGTTCACAAAAAAACACCTTTGGCATTCAAAATTCATTGTGGATCGCCGAAAACTGCCCGCAGGCCATTCACCGTTGGTGGCTATGAACAGTCAGGCGAGAATTTACCTCACCTCGCAAGTTCATCGGGTCTTCTTTAACCCATTGAAGGGACACTTCAACCTACCAGGATATACTTTGTTCGAGGTCTTCAACTCAGTTTACCGTGCGACGACTGCAGATCATAATGCATCCAGATGCCAACCGATTGCAGTCTAATGCGAACTCAACCACCGCGTGACAGCAATATATAACTTTGCAACTGCATTGGTACAAGGCTACGGGTATATTGATTGCAGAACTAATCGATAACTGCGTATGTAGGACCTGGTAACGGCCATATTCAAAAGTGCACAAAATTGATTTAATCTACCAATCCCCATCGAATGTGGTTAGCTCATACCAATGCTGTTTGGATCAATAAATTTATTCCTGCCGCTCGATAAAGCAGGTGGACAAAGTGGATTCCGCGTGGTATTTATCAGGTGTCTAGCAGGGCTATGACCTTGAGTGACACAGCAGAGTCTGGATGAATAAAATAAGATTCAAACAACAAAGTCAGATTGAACGATCGATTGAAACCTATAAAGGACGTACTTTTCTATGAAATCACCTATCCTGACGGGATCACAGCAGGCTACTCAAATAATGTGAGCGACCAACTATGTTATCGAGCAAGTGTATATTCTACCAGTGAACAGACTGAGCTTAAAATGGAGTTCAGACCACATCTGGGAGACTCCCTCAAACACAAGGACAAAAAATCCCTTATTCTGATTGGTGTTTCTCTCGAAAAAGGGCTATTTCCCCTAGCCAAAGGAATGTGAACCACCAAGGAATGATTTTCCACTTCATCGATGCAAAATTCAGTGTTTCTCTCCTATCGCTTCCCACCTAAACAGGATGAGATGAACACTTAAAAATTATCAAATCTCATGCTACTGACGAGCCATAAGTAGTTCAGAGGGAGAATAATTTCAAAAAATGAGTAAGACCATTTGAGTGGTCGCCGCTCGAGGATTCAGTCACTGCGTGATCACGTGATGTTGTGTCTGTGACTGCAGGACGCGGGCACTACGTCGTGTGGGAGAGAATCGCACCGCTGATCAGCGCTCGTGGCTAAGCGGTTGCAAGTTCAATCAATGTGGTCGTGGGTTCGAAACTTCCCACTAGATATTCGTGAGATTCACACCGTTGATGATTCTTCAGAAAGGAGAAACAGTCGTACAGTGCTTCTCGATTTTCTAGAATAGACCAGCATGTGGAAATTTTAAGTGACACGATTTCGACAATTTCAAATAACTTCCCGAGGATAACCTTCAAGGATAACCTTCAAGGATAACCTTTCAAGGATAACCTTCATGCTTTAGGTAATTAGAAACTCAAAAATGTAACCACGGCTGAAACCAAGTTGGTCTGAACTACAATTGCAACCATCGAACAAGCGTTTTTCTGACCACAGGAATGTCACACACGTTCCCAAGCAAATCAAACATCGTAAGTTCTATCGTCCTTGGCGTTTTACGTGTCGTAAGAATGAGGAAACATCATATTCCTTCCCTCCTGGTCATAAGAAGATGGTTTTTTACATCTGAAGGTATATATATAATCTGGAAATGGTGTTTCGGTCAACAGAACGGTTCATTTGCAGTGCGAGCCTAATGCTCCTTCCAGACCAGAACTTCGTACTCGTCTGCGGGTATTTCTTTCCCTTTGTAGGGGAAGTAAGCACATCCATGACTTTCGTGAACCTAAAAGGTGGATTATAATGCATTTGTTTAAGTCTGTTGAGGAAGTAAAGTGAAACCTGAAAAAAAGTGAACAGGCAAAGCGACTGTACCAAAGAGTCATCATACTTAATTGGGCACAACATTACACGTAATACCTTTTCGGCAAATGTGTGCCACCCCACCTGGCACAAGGTTTGAGGTACTGCCTGGCAGACAGAGCCTGTACAGGAGCGGTCGAGATGCCGGAGTTGAGTTCGAAACTTGCGCTTGGTATGTTTGCGCCTTAACCAGTGAACTTTCTGGAACTCATTATTTCTAGGAGAAAAACCCGCAACATTTACGAGGCAGAAAACAAAGCGCGACTCTTTTTTTCAATCCATGCTTTCTTTCAAGACACGCTGAGTTTGATGAGAGGTGCTCAGCCTGTTGAGCGGTCGTACGGTTTGCGGAATGTGGATAGCAGATTGAGGGGGGGTGCAGCAGTGTTGAAACGAAAAACTTTCAATTCGCCCGCTCAGTACGGCACTTCAGTGTGAACCATGAAGATTCTTGCATTAAGCACTACGCCGATTTTAATTTAGCTAGGGCTGAAAACAGATGATTTTGGGCGGGTGAATTTCACAAAGTTTGTCGCAAAAGCTGACATGAATCCGCAAAATGTTTACCACAGCCTTCTGAAAATATGAAAATGGACAAAAGAAACCTTGTTGCAACTTTGTTTTTGGTTCAAACAGTCAGTTTTTCACACTGGTAAAGGGGAAGGTGGGCGACTTTTAAACAGGTTTACTTAGCTCCTTCGGTAGCTGTGCCAGGACAAAGGTTACTCCTTTTTTTCGAATATCTCAGCAATGTTTCAAATGGGCATCATTGTAGTTGCAAGATAGAGGAATGAAATTATGAGAAATTACCAGAAGTGATAAGTGGCGTGCTCATATCGTCATGACGGTAAAAAACGGCAACAGTTTTTACTACTAAAGGTCTCAATAGCACGATCTGCAAATTCCTTCCGTCAACACAACAGAGCTGGAATCGGCTGATCAGCACGGGAGAATGCGCGATTTCCTCAAAATGAATCTCGAGACGTTTTCACTTGAGCTGGGATAAAACCAGTGGATTGGATGACTGAAGTCTGAAAGACAATCATGGCTTCTTCCTCTAAGCGAGATCTATCAAGACGTCATGAAAGACTTTCGCAGTAATCGAGATAGCGGACTTTGGTCAGCATCTCAGCCCACACCATTGCCGTTTGTTTTGTCTTCAGTACTGTCACATGTTGTATCACGTGAGTCACGGTTTTCGCTCTTCAGGTCAGGAGCGCACAGTCCACCCGGTCATATCAGCCTTTCTCGTTTCTTTACGGATGTACCTTGACGCGCTCCGGATAACTTTGTTTGTCTTCCTGAATCTCTTTTGAAAAGACGGGTGCCGAAATCGATGAGTTTCAATCAAAAACAATTTTGGCTTGCTATTCCCAAATAAGATGACTCTCTTTATATCGCATACTGTCTGAAGTCACGAACTGTGGCGGATTGGTGCGCTGTTTAGAGACAACCAAAGTTAAGCTCCGAAATCCCGTCTTCATTCGAAACCTGATGTAACGCACTACTCACAAGGTTGCTGAAAACTCCGCTATTACCGGATGGGCTCAGCCGAAGAGTTTCCAATCAACCTTGGCGAATTGCATTCGTTTCAAGACGCCTTAAATTTTACTAGAACACTCGACTGAATCCGAGGTGAGCCTCTCGTTTGTTTTGTTTAGTCAATCGTACTGGTAAGAAGTGAGCGTGATATTCCAGAGGTCCAGATTGTTCGAAAAATCACCCGAAAACGGGTGATTTTAGAGCTGGGATCAAATCTCATGTCAACACTAACTAGATTTAGGTTTACTTCGATATTTGTTTTGTTTTGCCTTGGATAACTCCATCGAATAGTGTCTCCATTGGAATATCGTGGCACAAATTCACCTGGTAGAAGTCATTCCCGTGTCATGCTCCAACTTTAACTCCTTTGTTTCTGGCTAAATAGATATCACTCGTTGCTACATTTTTAAGACTGCTGCATCTCATGTTTAGGCAACCGGACTCTGGAAACAAAATTTCTTCTACTGTCGAACAGGGTCAATTCAGTTGAGTCCCTCGTGACAACCAAATTGATTTGCAAATGAGTGTATTTCTCGAAAACAGTCCAATTTGGGTTCAAGTAGAACATGAGGTTGATAGGAACTCAGGGACTGCGCCTACCTGATGAGCCCGAAATGGAAGGGCGAAACCGGTCGTGGGCTGTTGAAGAGTTTTCAGCAACCTTATGAGTAGTTTGCTTTATGAAAAGTAAATCTTAACTTCTATTCAGACTAACCGTCTGCTTACATCATTATTTTGGCATTCATTTTCACATCACTCTTGTCTGAACAGTCCTCCTTGTGTCCCGGAGCAATTGTCCCGGTGAGTACACCCCAGAGAGGGGTGAGGGAAAAACTGGACACAAGTTTCTCTTCCATTAGCGTTTATCGGCAATGCATCTCACTGTCGAGGTCTGGCATGCGAGGGGAGCATGTTACCACGCTGGACGCGTCTGAACCTGAAAGTGCACACACTTGAGCACGACTGCACAAGAGTGATACGAAAGTGGAATGTACAAACTGCGCGATCGTTTATAATTCCACAGGAATACGTCTACAACAGTTGAGCCATCAGCCCTGGATTCACAGGATACTTATCGGAACTTGTGTTCTACACTATATCTAATTCACCTTCCCTAATGTGGCCTCTGCTAGCGACAGAGTCTGTCCGAGGGAATTACGACAGACTGTGCTCAGCGGGTATGTGAGGAACAGGGCGTTCAATTCCGAAATAATGCCAAAATTCTCAAAACAAAGATTCACCAACTGCAACAAAATTGTGATGAACATGACTGATACTCTGTTCATTGCTCTATTCATTATTCTCTTGTTTTAATATTACATATACTGTACTTAGATGCCAGTTCGAATACATACGTGCTACTCGTTACGCTGATCTGAATTCTGGATTCCTAGTTTGATATACTTACGGAAATTAATTCTCACAAAAATGTCACTGAGGTAGAACATAGATCATTAGGAAGTACTGTTAAATTTCAAGCGAAATTGCTAAATATCGAAGTTGTTCGATTTCAAATGGAGATGCGGACTGGGAGAACCAGCTCCGAACATAACTGGAATATATAACTGCCAATGGAATAACCGTTTTCGCTGGTACAGATTTAATTGACTGTTCTTCACTTGCCCTTGATAGATGAGTTATATTTTTAGCATCACATTTTTGCCCGCCTAGAACTTGTCACGTGAGCTCTTTCGGCTGCACGCGACACTCCTGTAGGCGTCAGTGATCAATAGATCAGCTGATTTGCACGTTCATTGGCTTTCTGGTTTAGCTAAGCGCATCAGGTCATCAAGCAGTTATCTGGACTCGGTTTCACGGTATTGAGAAGGCACTGGGAAAACTGTGGTCCACAAAAGTGTGGATTACACAAGACAGTTTGGCTAACCTAGTGTTGAGAAATCTTGGAAAAGCTGCACCACGGTTTTAAGATCCGAAAATTGTGTCTACAACTCATTTTAAGTACGAAGCCAGCAAAGAGGAGTAGGTTCAATCTCAAAGACAGGCACCCTCAGAAGGAAACTACCCCGTCTTGACAGACCTAGATGGCATTACCCATCAGCTAGAACCAGTACTTCGAGGCTAGTCTCCCTTTTCTGATAAGATTGGAAGAGCTGGTGAGTTAGAGAAAACCTCATACTGGTCAACTCACTTTTCCAACAATATATTCACCATCAAAATAAATCCGCGCGACGTACAGGGGTTCCTTGTTCACTGTGATGCCTGCCACCAGAGAGTTTTCCGGTATTTTTCCATCACCGTCCTTCTTCCATTCAAATCTATGGTCGTCCGTTTGAAAATTTGGAAAAGAAACGTTTCAGTATGTGTCGACCTTACCTTTACTCTTCAGATCAGATTAACAAGTCAACAATAACGTGTGAGACCCCAGTCAATGCCCAGACCGCGTGCCGCCCAAAGAGCTGAGACAGTGCCAGTTTTCCCAAGCCTAGACAGGAGCAGTCGAGATGCAGTGGTTGGGTTCGAACCACTAACTTTGCGGTCGGTTCGCTCGCAAGTTCATTATCACAAGTCCCGCTCCATTCTTGTGTGAAAAAAGCAACTGACGGGAAATGTCAGCTCATATACTTTACTTTTTGTAAACTCTTTTTTTTCAATTTGACAGACAGGCATTCATATCGAGTGGGGAAATATCGAGTGGGAAATGCTCCCTCAGGTTGCAGTAGCAAGTTTATCCCATTACAGACAGTCAGGCGGAATCCGCGACCAAAACTGCTTTACTGTCCCGCAGTTAGGCACACGACTGGCCACACAAGCCAGGGCTGCTTGCCGGTCCAGCATCCAGATGAGCTGTGATTGGCCGAAATTATGGATCGAACAATCGAACACGGTTCACTCTCCGCCAAAGGCCGGTTACGAATGCTGCGTCCAGAAGACGTTGGAAATTCCAGAAGTCTGTGACCTCATCTCCTTCATATAAGGTGCACTGTGGTGTTTTTTTTACCCGGTTTTGGACGTACAATACACGTTGTGCACCTATGGTGGCTCTTCTGCTGAAACACTAGCTTGGGAAGTTCAGACAGCGAACTGAGCTGAGGGACTTAAGCCCATGTACCAACGAGTAAGACTTCTTAGGGGTTTGGAGTGAGGCTTGTGGAAAATAATATGCATTGTGATCAAAATGTGCCAGCTCATTCTTCTCCAGAGGAAAGTCCCCCCGAGAATGTGACCACTGATGCCTCGGAACTACACATCAAATCGGCTGGAATCAACGAATCTGGGATCTGGTGATCAGGATGCGGGATTTTGGTAGAGCAGACGGCAGTTCACTCCAACACTGCAAGCTAAATTGGCTAAGCCAATGCCTGGATGATCGGTGTTTTTCAGTGCCTAATTCCGAGTACCGGGTAGACAAAATATGACGGGACCAAAGGGAGTGAAGGACGTCAAGGGACGTTGCTGGGTGGACAAAATCTGACAGGATCAAAGGGAGTGAAGGACGTCAAGGGACGTCGGGGTGAGGTTCGCCTTTCAGACTGTGGTTCGGTTGGCCTGCTCTGTACTGTACTAAATGATATGGCATCTATCCGATGTAAGTGCTTCCATGCTGTCAGATTCTATCCCGATTACCTGGCTGAATGTTAGAGTGTGCATGTAGGATGTTAGCGGTATCCCTCCCTTCTGTATTCACGCACAAGGACACGGTTGTAGGGCAGTGAAACACCTCTCATCTCTCATCTCATGCTGCTGTTAGTAGTGATGATGCTAATGTAATTGCAGGAAGAATGAGCCCCATCATATATTTCCGGACTCAGATTCGTAAATATTCGCATAAGTATCTTTGCGTATGAAATAAACAATTTCGCTCTGATAACTCGTCATCTCTTTTGGTTGTCGTTCCATGCTCCAGGTTCTGTTTATCTTGGTGATAAATTCATAATCCGCTGAGTTCTGAACCCCATCAATATTATGTTATTGCAAATTATACGGCTATATTTGTCACCTAGATTGTTCAAGGTCACATTCAGGCATTCCAGCTTGGAGTTGACCATCGGCAGAAACACATGCACGATTTTGTTCAAACAGCCCCGAGCACTTGGATGATGAAACTATCAAGAAGGTCAGATTCCTGAAAGCAACCTCAGAACGCCCGGAACCTACTGTTCCACCAAAAACTCAACAGGAAAGCCGGCAAGCATCCAGGCCAGTCAATCATTCAGTCAATTCAGCGAAAGCTGATGAGCGTACTTGCACGCCACAGAAGCACGACCGAATGTGATCAGCGTTCAGGAATTTCATTGAGGCATGATCGATGTTGATGGGTGTTCATTAACGCCTATCAAACAGCTTGGATCAATGTCAGAAAGTCACCTGTAAATAGCGTGGGGCCGTTGTAACTTCTGCTCTTGCACTCGCACGCACTCACGCTCTCATACTGGTTTGTTCGGAATATGGCGGTTGTGTTTCCTTCTGTGAGTCTTTTTGCTCCGGCATTAGGCACTGAAGGGGGTCAGCAGCAGACACCACTGATTGACAAATCAGCAGATATAACAGAGACACTTATTCTTGTAAGAGAACCGAATAGCAAAGCAACTAGTGAACTGCTTCGTCCTCGAGTTCCGTGGAATTCCACTGACAAAAGGCAACACACCTCGAAATGAATGACTTGAGCAAGTAGGCTGCGGGTTTGCAAAATAGAGTAGCAAATTTCGGCAAGTAAACTCATTGGAATCCGTCACATGCTGAACAGTTCCATGAATTAAAAAATTGAGCAAAGTTTCCTTAACACTGAACACAGTTCATTGCTCCTAACGGAAAATCAGCTTCGACCTTTCGAGTGGCCTTCAGTCACGAAAACTACATCACGTGGTCACGTATTGTCCGAATACTCGAACCCGAGTGACGACTTCTCACACGGATACTGCGCACATTGGGTGAATTTATTGATTCTTGCAATCGTGAGAAGATTTTGAAATTTTGGTGGATATTTCGTCCTGTGAGTGAAGCCAATCTATGCTGAAATCCCGAGAAACTCTTCTCAGCTTAATTGGAGAGGTCGTTACTCGAAGAGTCGGTCGAGACTTGTGATCACATGATTGGGATCCCGTGACTGAAGGATGAGCAACACTGCATCCTGTCTAGGTACCAGTTAATCACACTACTGATCAGCCGCGTGCTCGTAGCTGAACCGATAATCGTTCAAACTACTATGCGGGAGGTCACCCACGGGGGCTTGGTGAAGTTCCCGCTTATGGTGATTTCCAGGTACACAGTGCTTCTGGATTGGTTGAAATATTGGGCGAAACGTGCATCAAAATCTCGGCGAATCCTCACAATCTACGAAGCACCGCAACCTTTAGAACGGCAAATTCAAATGAATCATTTTTTAGCGTCAAATACAAAGTGGGCAACAACCTGATTTCAGTGCTTCAACTCACGTATGATTACAGCTCACTCCGGTTTGACACAGCGCGTCGTATACAAGTTTTTCGTACTCCTTCCCATTGGCACTGACGTACGCCGAATGCGTTGACTCCATCAACTTTCCGGGTAGAATTTCTCCGTCGTGTTCTGCCCGACACACGTAGACCTTACCCCCTGCATCCAGAGCGTTGGGTGGTACTGTGCCACACTCGGCAGGTATCCACGATAATGTCATCTGATAGCCGCTCCCGCACTTGGCCATCTGAAGTAAAAACGATAAAAAACGGTGTTGAGGGAGAAGATATTGGTTTTGATTAAAGCATCATTTCACTAGTGCTTAGAATTCAAGCTTTTGATCTTACGAAATTGAAGGTCAAAGCCTATCCTATTCGGGCAGGACAAGTTGTCAAACACCGATATCACCTGAATACAACTCAGTAGAGCGAATATTTGGAAATGACCAAGTGACTGCGTGAGGCAGTCCACTTTTACAAAGCACACTCGACGCCTTCGTATCACCCTCTAGGGTTCTATTTACTCTCAGTTCCGGCAGGATTGGTGGATACGTATTTACCCGTTTTGGTAGGCTCCCTACCAAGTTTCATCCAACCCTCAACTCATAATTCACCGGCCCATTGTGCTAAAATTCGGCTGTATACGGCAGATATTGAACGGTCTCGAAGAATAAAGAGGGTTGGGGTGATCTGGGACAAATGTCACCGCACTATAGTCCATAAACCACAATTAACGCCCTCAGTCATCTGTGAGGAAGAACTGGACTCAAATTTAAAAGGTTAAGTTAAAAAACAAACAAACCAGGGTGTAAAGTATATTATTCAAGGATATTCCAATAGCAGCCATCTTGAGTACAGAGCAGTTTTGAACTTGCCATTAGGACCCCAAGTACAGGCATTGACATGATAAATATTCAAGCAGCCAGGAAAAACCAACTTAGAGATTAAAAATGGCATCTTGACAAGTATGAATGCTCCAAACCACTTAGGTTTGTTGCTTTTTGGGTTCATTGCATAAGCGGTTGTAGATTGATCACTATTCACAACAAAAAAGATGGAATTAGGGGAGCAGAAGATGCAGCCGGACTTAACTGGCCACGACGGATTGTTGCTTCAGTCACTATTCAATAAAAGTCATCAGGATGCAGTGTCGAACTGAACATAAAGTACATCCGAGACTCATTGATGAAATCCCATCTTGATGGTTCAGATAGATTAACGTGCTGTCGACCTAAAGTCTAGTAGTCACAAAAGACACTAAGTTAACCGAAACACGTTGGAGATCATTCCAGAGCATTCCAGAAAAAAGAATTATCAAATGCAGGTGGACGTAATTTCTAGAATTCACGTTCGTATGACTCTTGTTCGAAATATCGTCCTCTTGTCCTGGAGCGGTTGTTCTGTTGATTCCAGGTGGAGCAGTCTTTTGGTAGAGCCCATCATTGGTGTACATTCATACCCATACTGGTTGAACTTCGAACAGGCGAGGCTAGCATGTTACCTGAATGTGTCATTTGGCAGACGCGCTGTCTTAACTTTCCTGACAGGTAGCGTAAAAGTCGCCGGATGAAGATGAAGGCCCCGATGAAGTGCACACACCTACAAAGTGTAAGGTCATGCTCGTG